AGATCGTCTGCCACTCCGACTCTGCCCGGGTGCCTTCTGTATACTAACCGCTCTGCCCTGCGAACTCCAGCCCTTTGCCTCTCTGGACTGCAGGCCTGTCCAACCAGCAAGGTGGCCGAGCTCCTCCGGGCTTCTCCGCTCCCTGCTGAAGTCTGAAATCGCCTCCTCGGGGAAAGCAGGGCTCCCTTGTTTGGCTTTCCTTCTCTCGGCGTTCGTAGTACTTAGCTCTCTGTGACCCACGTCTGGGTGTTCGAAGCAGGAGGGCAAGGTCTTGCCCCAGACTCCCTTCAGGGCTACAAGCCATCTCCCAGGTGTCATAACTAACTTGTCTCCCATTTCTCTTCTCACTGTCTCTCCTCCTTTCTTTCCAACTCTGTCTCTCCATCTCTCTCACTAACCCATTGAGTCTTTGTAGTGTGCTTTATTTTTCAGTTTTACGAGTGCTGATTAGCGGCTGCTTCTGTTCTTTCTCTGGGTCCTTTTGTATCGTCTCATGCTCTTTGGTTCTGTGGTCAGGAACAGGTATCTCGCAGCCTTTTATGTCTCACATTAATCTACGTGATCTGAAACCTCTTGTGTCTGATGTTTTCAAAAGGCTGACCTGAGTTCTGTGACTTGTTGATTCTCAACTCGTGGTCTTACCGAGTATTTATTTGTGTTTGCCTTTTCCCCCCTCTCATTTGTGTATTATTTTCATTTTATAATCTTTACTTGTAGGAAGGATGTGAAAGCTGGATTGAAGTTGCACTTTTCCTGGTAACATTTATATTTGCCGGAAGTAGAGTATGAAAGACGGTTATAGGCTTTACAACCCTTAGGGCCACTTCAAAGCCACTTCCTACTCAGGAGACTCGTGCCTGTTGTGAATTTAGGGCAGTAAACCATGTGAAGGCTGTTTCTGATTACAGATGTTCAGTAGAGGATGTGTGTCCCCCACCCCGCATCTTTATGTATCCTTGCCTCTTCTATAACAAGGATTCCTTCTTGTTTTCCTTTACCCTGAGGAATTCACTGCTTTACTCAGAGACTTGCAGTTCAAATCCCCACCTCGGGTGGGCCGTATACCTTATTCCTGCTCAGTCTGCAGAACAAAATGGGGGTGACCGGGATCCAGGTGATCCTCTCAGAGTAAAGGAGATATAGATGGTCGCTTCTTTTCTAAGATTCCTAAAAGGAGCCGCTTTATTTTTGTTCTTGGATTTTTTAATTTCTTAGGAATGCATTTTTTTTAAATGCTTTTACATGGGATGTAATATTTTTAGTTTGGGGAAGGAAAAGTATTCAGGGTGCTTTCTCAATCCAACTGTTAAGACCCTCAACCAGTTGGACTGACCCAGTGGCGCCAACAGTGGGCTACAACACAACCCAAGTGTTCACGAGGGCGGCACAGGGTTTCGGTCTGCTGTACTGGGGAGCCATGAGTTGGAACTGAATTGAGGGCACCTAACACACCAATACTGTTAGAGCTGGCAGTCTCTCCTCGGTTTGTTTT